AACAAAAAAGATAAACAACAAATAGCTATTCTGGAACAAAAATTGGAGGATATGCAGCGCGAAGGCCGTAAGGCCAACTTTGAGATTAAGAACGTACCCAAAACAACGGAAGAAACCCGTGGAAACTTGATAGAAATGGTAATGACATTGTCAAAAACAGTCGGAAGCAAGCTTAATGAATCACATATCATGGACATCTTTCGAGTAAAAGGAAAAAAGGGAGCGAAGAGTGAGTCACCCAATCATAGTCGAGACCTCGTCCTCAATCGTGAAGACAGAACTCTTGGCTATGTGTAAGGCCTTCAACAGGAAAAATAAACAAAAGCTCTGTGCCAAACATCTTGGCTTTAAAAGGAATGAAGATACGCCTATTTTTGTGTCGGAGCAGCTAACCGCCAAAGGGGCTCGTCTGTACTTTTCAGCACGGGAACTCGCCAAAACAAATACCTTCAAGTATTGTTGGACTGCGTATGGCCGAGTGTACCTGCGAGAGCATGACACGTCCCCCGTTATAACGATTAAAAGTGAAGCCCAAATAAACAGCCTGATACAGAAAACATGACTATACGTTGAGCCTTATGCGGTAGGCATTAAACATTTCTCTTTGTTATTGAATACTCGTTACATTATATTATTTGTTTTAACTAATTTAATTTGCTATATATCAGGGCAATGCCCACTATGTAAAAGTATACACAACTACATAATACACAACATAAATACACACACAATGTACATACTTACAATATTTATGTATTATCCTAATTATAAGTAAATCAAAAGAAATCGTAATATTAATAAAATTAATTCAATTCCTTATAGTACGTAAAATCAGCTTTATATACGAACATAAAAATGGATAGTTCTCTCATTAATCTGAGAGTAATAGACAAAATCCAAGTTGCACAGTCAAAGTAGATAGAATCAATTCATAGCTTCTCGAAAATATTGCATTACGTAAAAAACACTGACTTCACTATAATTGCTCAAAACATCCGAAGTATATTTAAAAATTTTAACGACTTTTACATTTCCCTATCGAACTTTAATAGTTGACTTGTTGGTATTAACTGAGTGTAGACTTGACTGTAACGAAGCAATACCGCATTTAAACATTAATAAATAATTATACCTCTTTTTCGACTACAAATCATATTAATCAGTGTGATGGGGTAGTAGTTTATGCAAAAAACACACTTAAATGTAATATAAAAGAAATTAAATTAATACATGCGTCATGCTTGCAAGTTGTATTACTCAGTTATACAATTCTTTGCATTTTTCGATCGCCTTCTATTAGAAATGCTGAACTTTTTATAAACTCATTGTGCAGAATTTAGACACTATAAAAGGACATAAAAATGTTGTTATTACCGGTGATATTAATATAAATATTATCAATAAAACCATTGAACAATCACACGAACGTACAAATAGACTGGCATACCTCAATATGTTAGTAATGCATGGCATACTTCCAGAACCTGTATTGCCTACAAGGAAACACAACTGCTTGGACCATTTTATGCTGAAAACAGATATTAATATACACTTGGCCTCCATTATAGTCTTTGACACCACTATAACCGATCATCATATGATATTCCTAAAATTGACCAATAGCGATACACAAAATGGAAACCAAAATAAAGATAACTTTAAAAATAATAATAATAATAAATATAAGACAATTACAAATTATGAAAATGCACTCTTAAGCCTAAAGGAAAGTAATCTATCTAATTTAATAGTATATGAGAATCCCACAGAATTAACTAACACACTTATTAATAAATTGCAGCAATGTTTAATGGACAACACTTTTTCAAAATGCATTCCCTCCAAGGATCAATTAATTAAACCATGGATTACACCAGGTATTTTAAAGTGTATCCGAAATAGGAATGACATGCAACGAAAATTACGTGCTGATCCATATAATTATATCTTAAAAACAACTTACAAAATATAACGTAATTTTTGTAATCATATAATTAAAAAAATCTAAGATTCAATATGATAAAGAACTCTTGATTAAACATAGGAAAAACCCACGGACTTTATGGCCTACAATAAATAATATAACAAGCCGTAACAAAAGAAAAACAAATAGTCTGGAGTTGTTAGACATACACGCTTCCCCACAGTTGTCTGTTGATCATGTATGCGATTTCTTCGTTAATGTTGGCAAAACCTTAGCTGAGGATATTCTAACAAACACTGTACACAACAAGTTGGTGCTAGCAATGTTTGTTTTAACTCACCTGTAGCGTCTATGTTTTTTTATGAAACCGATCCTGAAGAGGTTCGCAAAATTTTGATGAGCCTGAAATCTGAGAGCGCCCCAGGCTGGGATAATGTATCTACTCAATTCTTAAAACAAGCGAACGATCAAGTAGTGCCCATAATTTCGCACCTTGCTAACCTCTGTTTTAAACATGGGATCTTCCCAGCGGGGCTCAAAAAAGGCAATAATATCGCCGGTGTATAAGAATGGTGACAGAGAAGATGTATCCAACTATAGGCCAATTTCAGTTTTAACCACCATTTCAAAAATTCTAGAGAAATTAATCAACAAGAGACTTATAAATTATTTAAATAAAACTGATTTTCTTTCAAAATCGCAATATGGCTTTCGGCAAAATCTTTCAACTGAAGATGCAGTCACAGCATTAACGACACATATCGTTAACAATATCGACAGGGGAAAGAAATTTATTGCAGTGTTTTTGGATTTAAAAAAGCATTTGATACTGTCTCTGTCCCCAATCTTATACAAAGGCTGGAGAGTATTGGCATAAGAGGAGTGGCACTTGAGCTATTATCAGACTACCTCAATGAGCGCAAACAATGCGTGAACATAGGCCAATACATTAGTAGCCAATGTGATGTGACGTATGGTGTCCCACAGCTAATTGTCTTTGGGCCGACTCTATTCTTGACTTACATCAATAGCCTCTGCAATATGGGTATTAACGCGGGACAAGTTTTTTCTTATGCAGACGACACTACCATTGTTTTCACTGGCAACACATCGGATTCGGTACGTCAGTCACAGAGGAGGGGCTAGTCAGGGTAGCTAACTGATTAAAATCCAACCTCTTAACATTAAATACGGGCAAAACAAACTACATAGCATTCACAAAATATAATTCAACGCAACCTGAACATAATTTCAAAATTCAAATTCATGAGTGTAACAACCTTCGAATAAATTGCTCTTGCAAAACCATTTCCAAAGTTAACAATACAAAGTATTTGGGAGTTGTAGTTGACCAGAGGCTATCCTGGCACACCCATATAGAACTAATAATGGGAAGAGTCAGAAAACTTATATGGGTTTTAAAAAGCTGATTACTGACAAGAAACTATTAAAACTAATTTATGTTTCATTGGCTCAGTCACTATTAACCTACTGTATCCCAGTCTGGGGTGGTGCTAGTAAGACGCAGTTTCTCGATTTAGAAAGAGCACAAAGAGCACTACTAAAGGTAATGAGCTTTAAACCCTATAGGTATCCTACTGAAAACCTATACAAAATAAGTGATGTTCTTACAGTTAGGCAATTGTATATATTAAATATAATTCTAAAATGTCACAAAACGCTTCCATATGATCCTTCCAAAATATCTAGAACACGAAAGCATAATGTAGCTCCCATTGTTACAGTCAAGTCAGGTTATGCTAGGAGGCAGTTTACGGTTCGATCTGCTTATTTATATAATAAAGTTAATAAAGTTTTAAACATTTACCAAATGACTAAATACAAGTGCAAAATGAGTTTTTTTTTATGGTTTCCGCCGGTGGGTACACCCCCACCAACAGGAGTATATTGGCAGTTTTCACAGTTTTGTACACTTTTTAAACATTTTTTTTATTACTTATTTCTATGACACATGGAGAAGGCTACGCGTTTCTGCTATTTGATACATATTGCGTATGCCTTCTCTTTATATTAATATAATTTGTTTAAGAGTTAAGAGAAGTGGTTGCTTAGTTACTAACTATTACTATTGCTATTTACAGATGCACAGTTCTTATTGAAGTTCTTAAGTCTTTTAAAAATGTTATTAACAAATTGAATGAAAGAGTCCAAAAGGGACTCCTTCTTCATTAATGCGGTTAAGTTAAATGGAGGAGTTCTTAAATTTTCACAAAGTGTGACATGATTTAATCGTTGCACTGAAAATGCTGGGCAATGCTCAGTGAGATGTTCCAGAGTTTGTGGGGTGACGTTATCACAAGGACAATAATTATTGTCAATTATTTTGCAGCGATAAAGATAAGCTTAAGCTAAGTGAAAACTATGGTTGGTGAGCACCTGGGTGAGGTAAAAACTGGGTTTGGTGATAGTGCGTAACTTCTCGATATCCTCCAGTGTTGGAAGCAGTCGTTTGGTATGTTGGCCCTGCTCTGCGCTATAATACCTAGCTTGCCAGGTCGCGCGATTTTGAGTTCTGATTGTGTGTTTGAGGTATGAAACGGGAAAGGCCAAGTAGTCAGGTTGTTTGCGCAACTTGGAGCCAGCATTCGCAGCCTTATCAGCTGCCTCATTGCCAGTTATGCCAGAATGACTCCTGACCTATCCCAATTCTATGATGCCTGTTTCTCGGTACTCGTGTATAGTTTTGTGTATTTGTGTAATGATGGGGTGTGTGTTGCTTCTGTTTTGTACAGCGTGTATAGATGAGAGTGAATCTGTATAGATGACTGTGTGTGTATATTTGTGTTCTTTGATCCACCTGCATGCCTGCAGAATGGCAAATAGCTCCGCTTGAAATACTGTACACGTGTTGTGCAATTTAAACTTCTTTATGTAAGCCACTTGATTAAGATTAGTAGGGAGATAGCCCACGAAAGGCGCTCCCACTGCACCATCTTCCTGCTTACTACCGTCAGTGAATATAAAATGTGTCGTCTGTTCGGATGCAGATCCCGTAGATGTGAAGTTTGTAAATATTTTAGGAATAAAGGAAATACGTTGGGCAGGATGCAGGAGTTCAGAGACGGGAGTTGGTTTTTCTAGAGGGATGTCGCTGGGGGTCAGAGGTACCCAGAAGCCGAGCTCTTTCCACAGCGCAAACTTCCCGCACTTTCAGGTCCAGAGGCATAAACTGGGCTAACGCCAGGGCCGCGGATGAAGATACCGTGCGGAATCCCCTAATAGCCTTAATGGCAAATCCGCGCTGCATGCTCCCGAGTGCCCTCCTGATGCACCTTTCCTGGGCAACGTGTCCCCAAATTCCAGCAGCGTAGGTGATAGTTGGCACGATCACTTGGTGGTAAATGGTACTGATGTTCTCAGGATGGGCTCCCCATGTGGGTCTCGAGTACATACAAAGTGTGTTGAAGATTCGCACGGCCTTGTTGATAACCTGTTTCACGTGTTTCCCAAAGTTTAGTTTTTCGTCTAAGATGACTCCCAACAGTTTAACCTCTGGCACAAAGGAAAGACGGTGTCCGTCCATGTTAATGCTGGCTACCTTAGCCTTGGGAGTGAAGGCAATGAGCTTAGTTTTAGTATGACCGAAGGTCAGCTTGACGCTCCTTCCCCACTCGACTATATGGTGGAGAGCTAAGTTGGCAGCACTCTCCAGCTCACCGACACTCGCGGCCGTGACAACCAGCAAGACATCATCCGCAAAAGCCTGTATGTGACAGCCCGCTGGAAGCCTCGCATCGAGCAGCTCGTCTAGTATGATATTCCAGAGAACAGGCCCACACGTGGAACCTTGTATGCAGCCCTTAGACATCGTCTTGGTGACTCGCCTCCCCGCATGGTCAAGGATGACCTTCCGATCGCGGACATAATCCTGGATAAGTCCAAAGATGTTATTAGGGCATTGAATATGCCGCAACCGGTGGAAGAGTGCAGGCCACCAAGCGTTGTCGAAGGCTGCTTTAATATCTAGAGATATCGCGATGCTGAGGTGTTTTTCTGATTTGGCTAATTTAATTATTTTAAGAGCTGTGTGAATGGCTTCGCACGTGTTTGTCTGTTCCCGGAAACCGAACTGAAATTTGTTTAGTCGATTGTTTCGCTGCGCGTGGTATACGACCCTTTTGATAAAAAGCTTTTCCAACAGTTTGCCAAATACAGGTAGAAGCCCTATTGGACGAAAGGACTCTAATGCGCTGTAGTCGGACTTGCCCGGTTTCGGGATAATTTTTACGTATGCTGTTTTCCACTGGTCAGGGAAGTGTTGGAGTGTAAGACAACGGTTCAGTATATCTGTCAGGAGTCTAGGGTAATCTGTTGCAAATTGCTGACATATGTCGGATCTGAAGTTATCAAGTCCGGGAGCCTTCTTGGGGCTCATTTATTTTAAGCACTCTAACACCTCCTCCTGGGTGAAGGGAGGATCATCGTGGGACTGAGGAAGGTCGGTCATTTCTGATCTGAGCTCGTGATGTCGTGTTAAGGTGTCTGGTGAGTCATCTGTGGGTAGAAGTGGTCAAGAAGTGCTTTGGCAGTCTCCTGGCTGTCTGTGGTGTAGGTGGAGCCCCTATTGAGAGTGACTGGTGGGCGCCTAGGGGTGGCATTTTTGAGAAGTCTGTTCGTGAGTGACCAGATATTTTCCTTAGTTTGCCATTCGCAAAACTCACGAAAATGCCTAGTCGACTCCTATACCCTGGCGCTTGGCAGCGTGGAGCTGATGGTGTAAATCCACCACCTCCCGCTTGAGGGTCTCCAACTCCTCCGTCCACCAAGGAGCCTTGGGCTTTGTTCCCCGGCTTTTAACATGCATGCTGGCTCGACATGCAGCGTGGATCACATTGATTAGTTCGTTGATGATATGTTCCAGATCATCAACGTTCAGGGTAGAAATGTCATGTTCGAGTATGTTTGTGAGTGTCATGTGTGTGTGCAGTTTGTCCTTAAAGATAGGCCAACAAGGTTTATTAGATTTGTACAGGAAAGTGGAGTTTTGATATGTGTGTGTGGTGTTAGATGTGTCAAAGTCGATGCAATAGTCTAATGCATTATGCTGGGAAATTGGTGAAATGTTCAAGTTGACACGCCACTCCAAGATGTTATCGATGATGGAGCCGGAAGCAAATGTGAGATCGATTATTGAAGAGCGATCTCGCCCGTGAGTGACCGTTTCAAACGTAGGGATGTTACCAACGTTGCATACATACATGCTGTGTATTATATCTATAACTTCGTTGCCCCTTGGGTTTGATTTTACGCTTCCCCAAATCGGATGCACCCTTGGACGCCCCCCACTATCTTATGAGAATCTCCTGTGTTTTTAAGAAAGACGTCAAGCTTATCGAGCGTATTTGATTCGTCAATATTGGGTTCCACATATATGGACGCAATATTAGTATTGCGATTACCAAACGTGATTTTTATTGCGCAGAAGTTGGATGTAGAGCATTGCGATAGTCCCAAGACCCGCATCCTGGTTTTGCCAGGATGCAGGCCTTAATCTTGTTGCCCGTGAAAAATTGATATGTGTCAATTCCAAATGTTGATTTTACCTGTTCTCCAGAACCAATATATGGCTCGGAGATGAGGGCGATGTCATAATCACCGGCCATAAAGGAGAGAAGAATCTCATGTTGTGCATTCTTACATCTATCGAGGTTGCACTGTAAAATTTTTAATTTATTATGTGTATCCATAGTCGACACGATTATTTATGTTCTCCCTCATGGCTCGCAAACGTGGGCAGGTGTTGGAGTTAGCCGTGTGTTTAGTGTCCAGTTTAGTGTTGAAACGCGTATTGTGTGTGTGGCAGTTTATGCATTTTGCGCTGTCGGTCTTATCTTTGTTAGGACAATTGCTCACATCATGCTCTGTGCTCGCACAATGTGAGCAGAAGCTTTGGTGCGCAGTGCACCTTAGTTTTGTATGGCCGTACTGCAGGCACCTGTGGCACTGGAGGAACGGCGAGAAACTAGCAACATGGACGCGCTGGTAATCAATGCTGATATGACCCATTGTTAACATTTTGCTGTATACCTTAGGATCAACTAGAAGAACCACGTTATACATTATTGTTCTTATTGTCCCGTTTAAATCTTAGTTTGAGGCCCTCACCATCATCACTGATAATTTCGTTAATTTCCTCATTTTGCTGTCTAATAATTTTTATAAGATCGTCTGCTGGAACATCCTTTGATATGCCTTTTAATATGACCATGGGTCTAAGCTTCCGTACGGGTTCAGCCTTAATTCCAGTTTTTCCCTCGAGCCTGGTCAGGGTGTCATTGCGTTGAGTCTCCGTGTCGAACTCGACACGCAGCTTGTTGTTGGACACAGGCTGAATACGAGCCGGTGCGTAATTGGCATTGCAGTAATTAATGTTTTTTTTTTAAATAATTCTACAGCCTCCTGGCGTGTCTTAACCTCGACGGTCGGGCTAACTATGATCGCCGGTTTAGTCGCTGGTGGGGAGCTACGGAGGGCGGTTGGCCCAGCAGGTGCAGGAGCCTCGTGAGTCGCTACTGCTGCTTGTGCGTAAGAGGGCTTGTTGGCTGAGACAAGTTTTTTAACACTGGCAATCTCCTCCCTCACACATGCGAGTATCTCATCCTTTAACTCGCTGTTTAATGTTGGTGTGCTAGAGGAGGCGACAGACTTGATGGAAAGGAGAGATCGTGTGGCAGTTCTAATTTCTTCAGCAGCCTGGCTAATGAGCCGCGTATTAGCAGCGGTCACCCTCTTCCCTTCGTTTACCGCGGTACTGATGCAGGAGGAAAGTTTGCTTATCACCATATAAAAACTGTCTATGTCTTTAACCTCCTCGGCCGAAGCTGGGAGGGGGAGGGGTTCGCCCTGTGACGGCGCCATTTTCACTCAACACACATAATACAATGTAAAAAGTTGGTAACACGAAAATAAATTATTTGAAAAAAAATTAAAATGTCTATTATTGATATATACTTTGGTTTAAAAAGTGCATTTTTAATGTACAGAGATAATATACACTCAAAAATTAAAGGAATAATAAGAATATAAATAATTTAAAAGAAATACAAGTTATGTAAAAGAAAAGTACTTGTTCAAAAAATATTTAAAATTTTGCACTGTTATTCTATAAGAGTTGATGCACTTGATAGTCACCAACAATAGGTTATCACTCATAATTTTATTGCAATAATTGCTTCAATTTACAGTACATACTTGGGAAAGAACTGCAAATAGGCTGGTAAAGTCCAAGATAATGATTTCCGGCTAAAACCGGATACGGTGTTTTGTAGCACAGGTCTCCCCCTTTGCAGCGGCGTCTTCACAATTTTCTGAAGACGCCTAGATCCGAAGATGGCCCACCACGTGATTTTAGTAAAAACAACCAAAACTTGGAGATGCGTACTCTAGAAATTCCAATATTTGGTGGGAAGTTGGAGGATACTGACGCACAAAACGACACCAAAAAAAAACGATGTGTACCAGCGAAAAATCGTGCGCCACACGCGATTTACCGTTTTTTAGGTTGTCATATAAGGAAAAATGGTTTTTCACCTGAAAAAGTTCGAAAAAATATCGTCCGGCTATTTTTAAAAACACCAAAAGATAGGTCTCGTTTAGATGCAACTTTTAAGACCAAAAACACTGTTATTCGATCACTTTTTCCCCACTTTCCCGAATTTTAAGTGCGGAGCGTCGCAGTTTCGTGGCGTTCCTCGTCGTTCCGGAGATGGTTTTTACAAAATGAGTTTGACAGCACTATTAAAAACTTGGAGTTATGATAAAACTGAGTCTTTTTACGGAACTCAAACTAAGACATTCTTGGATTATATTTTACACACAATAGAAGTTTGATTTAAAAATAATATTTTATTTAATAAAATAGGAATGATAAAACTCACCTAAACTTAATCCCTTGTGAAATGTTATATTTTTATTTTTATTTACTCTTAATCTGTGTTTTTAGAGCAACTTTAAAAATGTAAATTAAAAATATGTTTTAGACTAAGTATTGAAGTAAGTAGGTATCACATTAGTATTCGTTTATCAATGTTATGGAGAGGGGGGGATTTCTAACACAATTATTTATTTACTTAAAAGAAGTCCTCATTCCACAACACTGCTGTGTAAAAACTCTGATACTGAATAAATTATTTGATTTGATTTGATGATTTGATTAGTGTCGAGACAGCTAGATTAGTTTATTTTAGTTATTTCTATAGCATAATGTCACATAGGATTTAGCTATGAGGGAATGCGGCTGATTTAGAAATTTTTTTCGTTTTGCAGAAGAGGGCCATTAGAGCTATTTACAACCTAAAATCGAGTCTCTTAGAGAAAAATTTTAAAGAAATAAATATATTAACTTTGGCCTCTCACTATATTAAAGAAAAACTAATGTATGTTCACAAAAACTAAGGCAGTTTTAATTAAAAAAAGTCATAAAGCCTATGTAAACACTACAGCACCTAAGCAAACACAAACACAAGCTAGTGATACCAGTTTCTCGACACCAAAGAGTCGGTAATTTATTCTTGAGGCAATGTATACGCTCTTAAGTTTTAATATTTATATTAAAGTTTAAATATTTAATTAAATAACAACTGTATAAAAAGGGTTAGTATAATATAAATGAATACATGGTTGATGATAACCCCTGGTAATGAGACGGTCGCTTCCAAGTTGTTTCTAAAATAATTTTTGTAAATATTTTGTAACCATTCACATTTTAAAATTTATTTAAAAAAAATCCCGCTGGGTTTCTTGCTGGCTTTTCCCAGGACAAGAGGTTTTTTCCGAATCATTGGTAAAGTAAAAAATTACTTTGAATTGGAACATGCAACCTATATTGAATAAAAAAATTAACATATTCTATTCTATTCTTTATAGTAATTGTGTAGAGTTGCAATTTTTTACTCAAACGTGGCCCAACTGTGGTCCTACAAATAATCCTGCACCCTACGTAATGCGATATTTCAAACTGTTTGCATATGGTAACGTTGAAAAATGTTGCGTCTTGCCCTAACTTTAAAATCCGTAAAGTTTGCATTACTCAACGAAATGTTTCGAGCGAAAGCAAAATTCGTGTCAAATACTAAACACACTATTTGTTCCCCGCCACTTCTTCCGCGTGGATTAATTTATTATGATTCGATTTCATGGGCTTTAATGTCATGCTTTGGCGTTTCGTGCATTACGTTACACCAGTGTGTGATTGTGACGGGACATATTACGGTTAGTTACACTGTAATAGCTCTATACTGAATTGCAAAAATAAAATACAAAAGTGGTTCTTACAATCATTGCAGGGTTTATGTCGGCCCAATGATACGGCTATAGGGAATATTGAATCCGGAGATTCTATTCAAACAAAGAAAAGAAATTATTGCAGGGATTATGCCGGACCAAACCTGATTGCTACCAATTTGATGGGTCAATATAGAGCGAACCAGACGCAGTTTTTCAGGATATTCTAACGATGTTTTTCTGTCTACGAATAACCAAGATTATGATGAAGCGCGTGCGCGGACGCACGCATGTCATCATGGCTGTTTCGGCACCTGGGCCGTAGCACGTGCGGCGGCACCTCTGTGGCTAGCCAGAATTCTTGAAAACAACACGTGCACCGCACACCTGCGTATGACTAGCTACTTGGTTTTCTTGAATAAGAGAGACGGAGCGACTGCCGTTAAGGGAGACTTGACTCTGGCGAGACTTGGGGCACTTGTTATATTCTGCTGCTAAATCATCCTTGAATCATTGGATAATTAATTGACGGAAACGAATTAAATTATTATTCTCAACCACTAAATTAGTCTCAGTACAATTTATAGTAGATAAGCTATGATATGTGTATTTTATAGTTGTATAAAGTAATATGTTCTAAATAATTAACTCTATTTAAAAGAAATGTCCCGCTGGGTTCCTTGCCGGTTTTTCTCAGGACAAAGATTTCCTTCAAACCAGTGGTCGTAGTATTATATTGAATAAAAATGATTCTATGCTATTCTAAAAGCCTATTCTGTAATAACCCTACATTACATTATATTTATCTTCCTACATGAATGTAGGAATGTGTAACGTATACACTTGCGATAATAAACCGAAATCACATCCATTTTTTGCTCCATATCGGGACTTATAACACCATAATGCATAATCGGGCATATGGTCTTTTAAAAATATTTTTTAAATTTAGAAAACGAATGCGTCTCAACTTTTGACGATGTCAGTAAGAGTAATTAACATAAATCCGAAATATATCCTATAGTACAAAAGTAACATATGACCATTTTGTTACTGTTGTCCAGTCCACAGAGTACATTATATATATCTTGAAGTTTAGTCTAAAAGGTGTAACGATGTAAGGAGGAGAAACATTGCATAGGTTACGGTTTGAGGTGGTTTTGGATATGTAAAGTGGTGCGATAACTACGCACGCAAATTATTTAGTGGAAACTGTGAAATAAGTGTCTGCTCGGGCGCCTTGAAATACTACCTTCATTGACTGTCTATTAGCTCAAGCTGTCGTCAAAATCTCCCTTGACTCCTTACATTGCGACGCATCAACATAATGTGATGAAGTTTTTAAACAAATTATTATAAAGGATAATTTCATAACACTTGACACTAGCAAAAGTGCAACCAGTTCATTGTCAAAGAAAGAAAGAAAGACGTTAGAAGCAAAATGTTTGCATTCTTGGACAAATTATTAATGTAATTACTAAGTTATTACTGTAATAATATTAGTAAGCAAGTTTATATAATAACAGACCTACCAGTGATATAAAATATTTTTAACTGTGATTTTGTCGTAGTTCGCGCAATAATAACTTAGCAAGATGGATACTAAAATTTACGACTGTTACTGCGACGGCTGACCCTGTGGCTAATTCCATTGAGTTAATACAAAACTAGACTCGACGTAGCTTTGAAATTACTAAAAATTTTTACTAAAACATATATCTGTGTAACTTACACAAGTTGCGAAAACAATACCGTCGCTAAGATTAGATAAAGATAGTCACACAAACATGCAAAAGCGGGTTGGTGTGGCATGTTATGAAATTTTACCTAAATTACGTAATAAAAAGGATTTTTTAAGCAGCAGTTGTTTTTTTTAATATATATTTTCTTATCACATGCATAGATGTAAGCATAACTGGTGAAATAAAACGTATTTTTAAAAGTATTTTTATTGTACTAAATAATCAAACAATATAAAATAGGTAATAAAATATAATTAATATAAAGTTCATATTAAATCATAATTAATATAAAATGGGTAATAAAATATATTTAATAGATCATCCATGAATAAACAAATAAGAATAATTAATTATTTTGTATGAAAATTAAAACCTAGTTTTATTATAATGACCAAAATATTATAGTAAAATAATAATATAAACGACTGTTATCTTTCTATCTATATCTTAAATTTTTTGTAAAAAATGTGCAACGTCTATAACGATGCCATAACGTATATACAGATGGCGGTTACATTTATCTCTCCTCTCCGCTCCATAGATCACAATCAACGCTGGGCATAAACGACACTTCACGATGACAACAATGTGTCGTTGTTTTTTCTTTATTACTATATTAACCTTTTTTAATATTATAAATTGTACATATTATATGCATTAATAAAAATAAAAAAAACTTATTAAATCTTCTTTTGGAGACATCCACACTGTATTAGATGTATTAAATGTATATTTAAACGCATTAAAGACTAAGCAAAGCGCCTCAATTGAATACTAGATAAACACTATTCGCCTTCTTTTCCGATGTTGGTATGAGGACGGAGCAATGAAATCGTAAAATTCCTGCGCTCTATGAAATCTATACAAATAAATAAAATTGAAATTTCTTTTTTG